TTTCCCATTCATCACTAAGAATCTAAATTGAGCCAAACATCCCTTTGGTTGTACATCCCTATTCAACCAAAGATCTTCTGGTTCAATACCTTGGTTCTTTATTATTGCATTTTCCCACCCAAAGCCTCTGGTTCATCTATCTAGAGCCTTTGGATCACTAAAATGCTACATTAATGAAGTATTCCATCCCTCGCATTCAACCAGAGGCCATTTGGTCCTTCTTAAAGGGTATGATTCATTTCCAAGGGTTTAGAATGATCATCCAGAGCCTCTGGTTCGTCTATCCAGAGCCTCTGTTTCATCAAAACCCAACATTTTATGATGAATTGTTCATTATTCACAGCCAGAGACCCTCTGGTTGCCCTCCCATATGTCATGACCAACCAGAGCTCCTCTGGTTCAGTGAAAAATCATTTTTCCAATAAAACCCATCTTTGATTGAAAACTTTTTCAAGATTTTACAATATTACAGCTTTTGTGACTAAAAATCATACAACATGGGTTTTTAGAAGATCAACACTCTGTAATTTGTATTTATCTTCCAACAAAGATGGAATTTTAAATTTAATTTTGTTTGAGATTTTTATTCTTAAGGATTATCCATTGGAATAATATTATTTTAAATAATTTTCCTAAATAACCCAAACGCCAAAAATCCTTACACGTGCCTGACACTTGAAAAAAGTTGTTTCCTAGAAAACCCTTCATATTTCCTTCCAAACCACCCCTTCATGACACGTGTCCCTGTATTTCTGCACCATCATGATCGTGAGCAGATTTTACGGCTCATGATCACACATCAATCACACTTTTCCCCAAACGTCTCCCACCATGATTATAAAATATTATTTAAATATTAGTTTAAAAACCCAACCTTTCCAATCCCTCTCACTATAAAAGGCCATCATCTTCAACCTCTCACTCTTTACGCTCACAAAAAACTCTCAAGAACTCAAACAACAAAGACGAACCTGTAACTCCCAGCTTGCAAAAATGGTGTCCTCCGCCTCTCACGAGTTAAACAACAACGACATCCACGTCCAATCCATAGGCGCGAACAGCTGTGCAATCGTGTTCCTCCCGATCAAACCCAACAACCATGCAATCGACCTCCGCCCACAGCTATTCAAAGACATGTTTGCCATTCTAATCGTATTATTCCAAAACTGCATCCTCCAACCGGCCCTCACCCTCTCTGACAATGAGGTACCGATAAAGTACATGCAACAATACTGGCAAACCTACGAATTCTACCTGGAAAACTGTGGGATTATGGGTGACATCGATGTCCCAATGACATAGTGTGCTCCATCAAGATTTCACATGCCAAAATTTCAAAAGTGTTTTTCATCCCAGCCCGACAAGAGCTCGAGATTGCTCACTACACCGAACCGCCAACCAACCACGACATTCTACGTTTTATTAGAATGTTGGGCTACAACAGGGATCTTCACAACGTCTCCAACTTCAAGAGGCAGTTTCTTCCACCTATGTGGAATGTTTTCTTCTCCATTCTCAACCGAGCCCTCACATGCAAGTTAGGGAGCATGGACCAGAGCAACATCAAATTCATGACCATCATGTATGGTCTCTTCTTCAACCTACCGTTGGATTACGCTCTTCTCATCTACAACAAGATACACGTTGCAGTGGTGAAGAAAAACAAATTGATGGCCGCTGGAAACCTATCACATCGGTGCTTTTCACATCGACAGCTGGATTCTCATTGCTTTATATAGATTTATATTGTTTCCATATTTCTACATTACTATCTTTCCTTAGAAGATTTGCGATATATCTTTCTTAGATAGTTATCTCCTTCTTTAGATTACTAGTATAAATAGGTCTTATATCTCTTGTAATCATTTACACTTCCATTCCATTAAAATCAATAATAGTGAATCATTTGACGCTCCAATTATTCTTTGAATATTCTTGAGTTGTTCTTCACTATTATTCATTCATACGATATATTTAGGTTATTCATAACTTGAATATTCGTGTTAATTAAGAGATCTGGGATCAACACTCTGATTTAGTGGGATTGATTTATACTCAGAGTTATTTCAAGAGTGCAAGTTTGAAGAGTTATTCTCCAGAGCTTTACTTTAGAGTTATTTCCAGAGTACAATTCTAAAGAGTCATTCTTCAAAGTTAGTTCACCCGAACTCTAAAGTCCTCTTTTCTAGACGGAGCACCATGCAGAGCCTTTGCATAGTACATGCAGAACTTCTGGCTTGCCTATACAAAGCTCTGAAATCTAAAAAGTTTTACTTCTGAGTTATTCCAAGAGTGAAGTCTGAAGTCATTCTTTAGAGCTATACTTCAGAGTTATTTCAAGAGTATAAGTATGAAGAGTCATTCTAAATTTACTTCTAAGTTTAAATTCAATATATTGATATACTTTCATTTCTAAATTTAATTTTATTCTAGGGTTAACTTCACTTTAACTAATTATTGATATAGTTTCATTTCTAAATTCAAGTCTGAAGAGTCATTTTCCAGCATTATACTTCTGAGTTATTTCAAGAGTACAAGTCGAAAGTAACATCGTACTTTTGATGATCATTCATATTTGTAAGCTAAGTTCCTGACATGATTTAATTTTTTCAAATTACCCCGTATAATACATGGGAGCAAACCTAGTGTATATATATATAGAGAGAGAGAGAGAGAGAAAGAGAGGGAGAGAGAAGGTGGGGGTGCATTTCACATGGGTGATGAAAGGACGGTGACATCCTTGGTGGAGAAAGAAGCAATAGTCAAAGAGAATAAAAAAAAGAGAAATTAAGATATTAGTTTATATCTTATTTATTCAGACCATATTAAGTGATAAGAGCCACTGAAAAAAAAAAAAAAAAACAAACAGTCTGAATTAGAAAACGTCTGGATGAATCAGACATAAAAAGTAATTAAGAGCTAAAAATGAAAAAACAAACAAGGCCTAAATAACTATAAGTGTATAAGGTATACTTTTAAAATAATTGTATATGAAAATTACATATTTATGATATTTAATGATATAACTAAATTAAAAAAATTATTCGATATTTGTCATATTTTAAATGTATTAACAAAATGATTATAATGGTGTAATATGTACAAAAAAACATGTTTTTAAACATATTTTAATTGATATACGATTATGTATATTGATAAGATAATGATGTAAAATGAACATGAAAAGTAAATGATATAAATCAAACTAAAAAAATAACTATATGAGTATCAAATGTAAGTATTAAAAATTAATTTCACACAATTTATGATATATAATAATATGATTACATCAAAAAATACTAAATATTAGACTCATTTTAAAGGTATTGAGAAACCTATTATAATGATGTAATTTGTTAGAAAAACATATCCCCCTTCCAGGTCGATCACAAGAAAAACGAAAACCAAGATTTGCTTTATCCGATATCAAACGGGAGCTACGAGCAAAAAAAATTTCCTCATATTTTAGTTAATATACAATTACGGATGTTAATATGATAAACATGAAAAATGAAAAATGAAAAAAGAATGGGATATAAAGGAGTTCAAATAGATAATTGTAAGGGTATAAAATGTAACTTAAAAAATAAAAATGATGAAGCTTAACCATTGAATATGGTTTATGAGGAAAAGTAGGTAGTAGGAGGGGTATGAAATGTTAGGGACCGTTTGATAAACATGATTAGTTTATTGGTTAAGGGACTGTTTGACAGTTGCTGAATGATGTCAGAATGATTAAGATGCTCTTATGATATAGTGTAAAATGAAATATGTTTGTTTGATGATTGTTCAGAATGAAATTAGGACATTGAATAGTAGGTTTTTTTTACCAAACAAGAGGTAGATTTTTTTACGAAACAAAATTCAACTCTTATCTGATTCAAAGACTACATTTTAAAGAAACTATTAATAGATAAATAAACAGCCCTAACTTATCATCTAACTACTAATTTTTCAAATTAATATTTAAATTATTAACCAGTTTGTCAAACATAACCTACAAATCAAATATTTTTGAGTTTTTTTAGAGTAAACTACGTTTAGTCCTTATGATTTATCAAAAATTTCTATTTTTATCCTTGTGCTTTAAAAATTATGATTTTCATCTTTTTGATTAATAATTCATTACCTTTTTCGTCCTTATTTAAATTTATTTCTTTTTTCATCCTTATAGTTTAGAATTCATTTATATTTTAGTCATTCATACTTAAAAGTAATATTTTGGTCTCAGAGGTGAAAATAAAAATGAATTACAAACTATAAGAAGCGAAACTGAAATTTCAAACCACTATTCTTAATAAATAGTAGAGACGAAAATTATTTTATAAATACTATAAGGGTATTCGTACAATGCAGCGAGATAAATCTTCATGTTATTGTTTAGTTTTTATTCTGTCTCTGTCGACATAATACGATTTTATGTGGTTTTAAGAAAACAATAATGTTTTGATTTTTGAATAAAATAAAATTTTGAAAAAAATAAATCAATATTAGTATCAAATTAAGAATTTAATACTTGTTGTTTTTTTGGTGTAACTTTTTTAATCAGTTTTTTATTTTAAGTTGATTTAGATTTAATAATAAAGTGACTTAATTTTAATTTAATAATATAATTTATAAATATAATATTTAAACATTTTGTTAGTATTTAACGATTATCTTAATTATATTTTAAATTTTTTATATTTAAAATAGATGTTTATCATGTATCGGATTATGTTTATCTGCAGTTAGTTACACGAATTTAAAAATGAGGCTTTAATAAGTTATATTTACGCAAAATTATTTGTAATCTTAAATTTTAAATAATATGAATTATTAAATAATATTTATTGCATAATTAATGAATTTTTTATCAAAATTTTTATCATATATATATATATATATATATTATTTTTAACTTAAAAAAATGGTGAAGTATGGTTTTATTATAAAACACATCCAAACATGGTCATTGTGACGGTCACACTCACACCCTCTGTAAAACCTAAATCTCGTGATCTTGGGGACGAGACATTCAACAACATCGTGAAACTTCGCGCGAGACAATCACCAACAAAAAAACTGGTTTCAAAAAGATTTCTTCGGATTTTCAACTGCTCAAAACCAGAAGACAAGATTTGTGATGGATTTCTCTTTCTAACTTGTGTGTTTTGGTGATGCAAAAAGCCTAGTGCTCTCACTCGACTCACTCCGATTCTTCTCTCTCTCTCTCTCTCTCCCCTTTTAGGGTTTTCAATTCAACTATTTCAACCATCGACGGTACTCTCTCAACTTCTGTTTTAATTTTCCCGATTACTCCAATTTAGGGGTTTGAGTATCGAAAGCTCAGTTTTTGTGCTCTTTATGTTTACTCACTAGGTTGAATTTTGTTGAAATTACGGTCTTAGTGGTACATTTGTTTATTCTTTATGTTTGCTTTCTTGCAGCTTTTGTTTGATCTAAGAATTACAAAGGGTAGTATTTTGTAGCTTTAGGGTGTGAAGAAATTAAAAAAAACTAGCTTCGGATTGGATTTAAAAGACATCATGAATTTTCTTCTCATTTTTTTTGGGGTTTTGTGCCTGTAGGGAGTCGATTATGGAAATGATTGGATTCGCCAGAATTAGTAGCTACCCTTTGGATTCTTAAAAGAAAATATTATTATCTTTCCTTTCAGTCTCGGGTTATTTATGTCTATTGGCAGCAAATTTTAGGTCTTATTGATTTATTGCTTTCTCCAAAATTGGATGTTAAATCTTTAGGCGGTTTCATGTAGCACCCAGATAAGTGCGTAGGAGATACTTCTCTAGATAAAGTATTTTGACCAATAATTTGGAAAAATAATAAATTTGGAGATGACTTTTAAGTGTGCTTTACATGCTCGCTGTTACTTGCATTGGTCATGGGTGATTGGTTTTGATAGTTGATTGGATGAAGCTGTTTATCGAGGATGAATTGTGTATATGGTTGAATCAGTTTAAGGATGTTCAAATTACATAAATTTCTGTCTCATTTTTATTTAACATTTTGGTTATTGAATGTCAATGCATTTTTGTCATAGCAGATTACTTAGGGATCGTCTGCTTCTAAATCGGTAACTCATTGATAGGTTTGCTGACCGATAATTGGGTTCTCAATGTTCTTGGAACAAGGAGGAAAGATAAGAGCGGCCTTGCGTTACTTTTCATTGTAGCTGAGCGCCAATTAGAAGTAAGTGTTAGTCGACTAGCACCGATGGATTTTGCGAAGCGCTGGTGTAGTAAATTACTGCCAAAAGATAAGCCTAAATCTTCACAGAAAAGGGAAGTTAAAAGTAATGGAAAGGAAGGTTTAAGAGTAACAAATGAAGAGGCACCCTCAAACGCCACTAAGCAGAAGGTTGAAGCTGCCAAACAATATATAGAGAAGCACTACAAGGAGCAAATGAAGAATCTGAATGAGCGAAGGGAACGGTATGCATCCATTATTTTGTGTGAGCATAGCTAATGAAGATCACTTGTTATCAGGCCTAAGTTATATTTTACGGATATCCTTATGATCTTCACATATTGGCTTCCTTAAAGCCTCAATATCAATTTATGCTCTTATGAAATAAAAATTACCTATGGTTCATGTGCTTGAGAATTAAAATGCATTTTGCGAATTGATTGCTTACCTGTAAAGTAATGGTCATCTATATCGGCATTATGTCATCTCTAGTGTGTATATGTGTGTGTGTCCATTTGCTCAGAAAAAATAAGTGACCGGAATGAATTGGGCGTTACATAAACCTAAGATTTCTTTTGCTCTATAGTTGGTTTGTCGCACTCATTTTATTCCATTTTCATTATGTTGAATGCCACCATTTCAAATGTCAAAAATTCTGGAGTTAGAATTAATTTCTTACCTGTACTTGATGATGATAATGTGAGTTTCATGAATGTCAATGCTGACATTGCTCCACCTAAAAACAATTACTGTTCTTCATTGTTCAATTGGCTAAATTGATGATTATTTGAGGGAGTACAATTTTCTAGTGTTCATGGTTCCTTCTTTATGGTAATAACTTTTTATAGATACATCATGTGCAACAACAGATTGACTTATATTTCACATCAGAAATTATATGAGTTTTCTTGAAATTATAGTACTTAAAATTATGACAGAAATTCATTCTTGATGTAGGCGCAACGTTCTTGAGAAGAAATTGGCTGATTCCGAGGTCTCTGAAGAAGAACAGAACAATCTACTTAAACATCTAGAGAAGAAGGAAACAGAATATATGCGCCTTCAGAGGCATAAAATGGGCGCTGATGACTTTGAGCCATTGACAATGATAGGAAAGGGTGCATTCGGAGAGGTATATGGGTCTCCACTACCAACCGCCCTTAGCTCATGAACAGTGAAAAAATGGTCTATAATCTCATTTTTTTTGCTATTCACTTCACTCAGCATTGATGATGGGTTTTCACAGATGCTTATGAATATCTTATATGTGCCAATCAGATCTCAATCCTGTACTTTGTTTACGATCACCATGCACATAGCGCAACCAATTCACAAAATTGCCCACTTAGAAAGTCATCAATTATGTTTCTTTAATGGGATGATGAGGCCTTCATATGTCTTCAATCCATTTCTTTGCTACCCAACTGTATACAAAATTCTCCATCAACCCATTTTTGATCTGCCTTGACCCATTGATTTTTAATGTATTATGTTCTTCTCTAACCGGCAACATTATTTGTATTTTCAGATGTATTTTGTGAGTTATGGTCATGTATTTATAGGAATTTAAACAGTTCAATTGTGTAAAGTAACGTCTCTTGCTCGTGCTCTCTGTTTCAGGTTAGAATATGCAGGGAGAAGACAACTGGCAATGTGTATGCAATGAAAAAACTTAAGAAGTCTGAAATGCTTCGTAGAGGCCAGGTAGAAATTTATTTCTCTCAATCACTTCTTGTGAAGCTTCTGTTCAAAAGGCTTACAATTGGTTTTTGTTTGAGTTTTTTTAGGTTGAACATGTCAAAGCAGAAAGGAACCTACTTGCAGAAGTTGATAGCAATTGCATTGTTAAGCTCTATTGTTCATTTCAAGATGAAGAATATCTCTACCTTATAATGGAATATCTACCTGGTGGAGATATGATGACTCTACTAATGCGAAAGGATACATTGACTGAAGATGAAGCTAGATTTTATGTGGGCGAAACTGTTCTGGCAATTGAGTCCATTCACAAACATAATTATATTCATAGGTTGCTACAGAACCTTGTTTTTACTTTATTTTACACGTGGCTGGACAATTGAACCCGACCAAAGCATGTGACAGTTTTTACCAGAAGAATAATTTCTTTTCCAACTGTTGCAGGGATATTAAACCTGACAACTTGCTGCTTGATAAATTTGGGCACATGAAATTGTCAGATTTTGGATTATGTAAACCATTAGACTGCACTAATCTTCAGGAAAAGGATTTTTCTGGGGCAAATAACCTAAGCGGGGCTCTTCAAAGTGATGGGCGTCCTGCAGTACCTAAGCGCACTCAACAGGAGCAACTGCAGCATTGGCAGAGGAATAGGAGGATGCTTGTAAGTTACTTCCACGAGTCTGGGTTTGCATTACCTTTTGGAGTTGTGGGGATGATATTTGACCAACGACTGCCTGTCTTAAATTTTTTATCCAAACACATTGGTATTGAGCATTTAAATTTTTTTGATGTTGTATTGGTGTAGGCATATTCTACTGTTGGTACACCTGATTATATTGCTCCTGAAGTTTTGCTGAAGAAAGGATATGGAATGGAATGTGACTGGTTTGTATCTTTGGCATTGTAAAAAAGCACTCATTGATATAAAGAAATAAATTGGATTATATCTTCTTGCCACAGGTGGTCTCTTGGGGCTATCATGTATGAAATGCTTGTGGGTTACCCACCCTTCTATTCAGACGAGCCCATGTCTACTTGTAGAAAGGTAAAATTGTGCATCTATTTGAATTAAGGTGTACTTGCTTGATGTAGGCTTTCGACTTAAGTTTCACCTTTTAAAAAAGCAAAAGCCTGAAGGTTAAACTTATATTGATGTTCCCCCAATATCAATCCTCTTTCTTCTTGCTAGTAACTATAAGTATTATTGATACTGCTTCTTGAGTTGCAAATTAGATAAGTTCTTCTTGAGGAATACCTTTTATTTATTTGCCTTGTGAGTTTGATAGACTGTTACTAGAATTGTTAAAATATTTTTTAGACAAGCAGACTGTTTCCTGCCTTTGAACATCTTTGGCAAATACAAGTTCTTATGCCTGATGTCTTTGGCAACTTCAGAGATTTCGAGCAAATAGAGTAGAGTAGTATTTATGGTAATAGTGTCCTGGATATATTTATGTAAGGCGACTAATAACCTTCTAATTGTAGCACTATTTGTTTCAGGGCCGTGATGAATCTGGAAAAATTTAGAATTTTAGTTTTGCCTCTGGAATTTTTATGGGGATCCATATACATTCATTGACATGCCAATATTCAAGTCAAATAGTAATTAAGGAATATTAGTTATTATCATTGAATGTAGGGATCAAGAAGAGATTGCCATTATATTTGTCCCTTTGTCTTGTCCACAGAGGTTTAGGTATTCCACTTTCTAATCCAATCTCTCTCTCTCTTTCTCTCTCTCATATAATAATGGTGATAGTTCCAGCAAACTGCAATCCTTTGTGTTACTAGGGTCGGAATTTGAATATCTATGTCTATCAGACTCGATATGTGTATCCTATCTTTTTTATTTGGATAACATTTAATTTGACATGCATTGGAATTCTTCCTTAATATGGTTGATGCATGGAAATAGTAATCTCAGCCAATTACTATCTAGTTAGTTTACATGAACTAACCTCCATTTGTTGTGACTGACCTGCTTTCTTGAACATATTGTGGAAGTCTAAACCTTTAGCTTTGCACCTGGCACCCAATGTCAGCCGTTGAGGCGCTCTCCACTATATAATGTTGTGTTATCCCATGATTTTGTATTAAAATATCTCTCGACTTTGGCTTAGTACATAATTGTTTTTTATTTTATTGTGTATCATTTGCTATCAATATCTTTATTTATGTTTATAAATTCCATCTTGCTAATACAGATAGTGAACTGGAGAACGCATTTAAAATTTCCCGAAGAGGCAAGGCTGTCTCCAGAGGCAAAAGATCTTATCTGTAAGCTTCTATGCAATGTTGAAAAGAGGCTTGGGACCAAAGGTGCTCATGAAATAAAGGTGTTGTGCGGTGTGTCATTCTTTGTCAATCTTGATTGTGCTTTTAAGAGCCGGACACAATTGGTTTGGGGATAAGGGATTTGTATGGGTTAGTTTTGCGTTTAACAGCTGCAAGTAAAGATATCAGCCTGTTGCTTTGTTGATTACAGGCACACTCATGGTTCAAGGGCATAGAATGGGAAAAGTTGTATCAAATTGAAGCTGCATTTATTCCAGAAGTAAATGACGAGCTGGATACTCAAAATTTTGAGAAGTTTGAAGAGGTGGATTCTTTAGTTGGTGCACTACTATACCGTCTACCTGCTAATTTTATTTGTTCTTCTTTTTTTTCTTACGCTATTTTGTTGTTGCTGCAGGGTGACAACCAAATTCCTTCTTCAGCAAAATCAGGCCCTTGGAGAAAGGTTAGTGAGATATTGGTTTAGCAATTGCAATGTCAACAGCCCATCACTGTATTTTATAGATTGTGCTATCTGGAAACTATTTAAACCTGGCTGCCCATGTAATACAAATATAGACAGCTGAACCTGTTTCTACCCTGGTCTCTACTCACTCTTGCCGCATAATTACCGTGTTTACTCCTTCGAGTGGCCTGTTTTGGAGATGATTAAATCATATCTAGCTTATTCTGTCATTTTCTCCTGAGTTTCTATCAATCTTCCGTTCCTACATATGTGCTTTATCATGCTGGCCCAATATTCGGATCTGTAGAGCACATATCAGATCCCACCCTATTCATATAAACCCTCTCTTCAACGTAAGTCTTAAATTGGATTATATGATCACGCCACACTTGATGCAAGAACCAGTTGCTTCAATTTGCTCCCACTCTCCAATTAGCATCCTTATCGATCTAGTTATCCTTCATGTGTATCCCAGATAATGAAATTCTAGTTTTTAGAACTCAAACCCCATTTGTCTATGCCAGTAAGGTACAGAAACCAATGATAAAATTATACATAACGTAACAGAAATCAAACTTAAAACCCTGGGAATGATACAAGGCAAGATTACAGGACAAACTTTGAATAATTCTTTTTACTATTGATGATGGCTACTATATGCTTATCTTTTGTCATCTGCTGTATGTTTTCATACTTTGATTCCCAAGCTGTAGGGCCTCCATCATTGACTGCTTTTTCTGGGTTGTTATAGATCCTCTTTTAACTGCTTTTGCAAGTTCATGACGAGGTTCTTGCTTGAAACATGAAATTGAAGGAAACCTTTTGTCATTTTGAGGTGTAGTATTTTCCATGGTGGTCTAAGCCAATTGTCACTGGGTAAGATTAAGTTTGAATACATTCTTGTAGAAAAGTGTGATTCATTTTATGGTATTTTATAAGATACTTTCCAAACAACACGCTAGAAATAACTTCATAAATTCTTTTAACATATCTGGATCTAGTCACCATGTGTGACTTAATGAGGGTGATCGGAAGACTGTACATGAATTAACCAAGACTTTTGGAAAGTGGTATCATTCATTGAGAAGCATGGGTTTTAGCAGACGGAAAAACAACCAGTTGTAAAGTAGGGCTCAACATTTGTGGCATATAATACAGCCCATGCTCATATTTCAATGTTTTAAGATTTCCTAAGTCGACATATCCTTGTATAGCACAGCTGAGTCATTGCACATGTCCTTGCTTCTTAGGGACTACAAGAAGTAACTTTTCAGAAAAAAGGTCTAAAATTGTAGCTGGTTTACCTCGACTGCATGACATATAAAAACATACAAAAAATATGATGCAGTTATTGCTTAAAACGCTAAATGTACAAAAACCCATTTAATTTGACTAGGCAAAAGACCAAAACGCCCATTTAATATTTGATGGATCAAGTGCCATATTGCTCTTGTCCATAGGCATGTTTGAAACTATATTCACCCCAAAGCGTTAAGTATATTCGCTGCTATTAAAATTTTCTTCATACTCTGTGCTATAAGTGTCAAACTTTTTATTCAAGTTCTCAAAAGAGTCATCAATTTACCACATTCCTCTCAATTTGTATTGCATCACTTAAAGTAATTCCTCTCATCCCTCCCTCAGACTTCTCACCAATGGTCTCTTGTTCTAGTCCTCGGTATAATTGATATCATGTAGGTACTTGGTTTTTATTTTGTTTCACAAAACATGCACACGTTAGCATGTATTAGATTTACCATGCAAAGTAAAATTAATTGAAAACAAAACATAGGTATTATTAGTGTAACATGACCATACACGTTTACTTTCCACACAAATTTTTCAATATCTTGAGTTCACATAAGTAATAATCTAATTATGTCTAGTGAAGTACAGTACCGTTCATGTCTTAACAGATGTATTTATTTGTATTCTTTTCATGCATGAATTTTTGAGGAAATTCCTTCTTTTTTTTTCCTCTTTTAGTTTACAGAAGTAGAAGATATAAATAGTATAGTTAATAGGTACTATTACATATAAAATATGCAACAGATTGAGTACAACATGGTAAATTGGAGGCACCGGTTTAAATCATATGTGCACTAGGTTGAGTCTTATTTTTCAAACTGTATATAAATTTTGGGTCGTTTTTGTCCTAACGATTCAGCACAAATGTTCTGCAGAGATTAAACAAATGCACATAAATAGGGGTCAACGACCCTTGATACCTGTGAGAGTCATTCACAAACTTTTGTTACTTATTGCTAAAAAATGAAGCCACAGGAAAGTAAGCTAGCATTGGGAAGATGTGCAGTTAATTTTTTCTCATTGCTGTTTTCTTTCAAATTGTTTCAGAACCAATTCCATAAGATTCTTTTAACCATCCATTGGAAAAAGAAGGAAAACTTGAATTCTTTTGGAGCAAAGAATGTGATCATGCTGTTTTGTACAAATAAAAACAATAAACTATGCGTACATAATGAAATGGATGTTCCAATAATTGTTCTGACCGTTGGCAGATCCACATGAAGAATAGGGGGGTCAACCCCAGTCAAAACCTTATCTTTTACCCTCAGCCGAGAAATTTCTTTCGAGTCCCCTCCACATCTTCCCATCACCAAAGATCCTGGATCCGCCACTACTTCCGACAGCTTTTCTTCCTTTGAATAACGAACTTTATCATTGAGTTATTGACTAATTATTATTATTCAAGCTAATGCCTTTGTTTGGAATAATAATTATCTTTGAGTTATTGAATAAACCACTCTTAAATCACATGCTTGAAAAATTTAGGATCGGCACACTACCAAAGGTACTCGGGAATAATTATGTTTTTACCGGAAATGCTGTCTGCAGAAAACGTCTAAAAATTAATCTATCTCTAATGTGTTGCATTGGATGAGAGGTAGCAACGCTCACTTGTATTGTTGTATTCAAAAAGACCAGATACATAATGTTTGGAGGAAGATAGAGAAAATAAAGGTCACCAAAATAATTTAGAGTTGTGGCTTTCAGAAAATCACCACTAAACAGTTGCTTATGGAAAAGTCACCATTATTGGTTAGTGACTTTGTGAACAATCATTGTTGAAATTCTAATACTTAAAATAGTAAGAAAATATTTCTTAAGGTATAATGGAAACAGTTGATGGAAACCTAACATGGACTCGTGGAGTTTTTAGACCAATATGCTCTATACATTATATTATACCAAGTTTATGTTTATGCCTATAGGTGTTCATTAGTTGAGTATTCGATCAGACTTTATTATTGATGATTAGCAACAAATCTAGTGTTGAGCTCTATTTATATGTCAAAATGCTCAAAGTTAAGATCTGTAACTACAAGTTAAAATCAAAAGCATAGATGTTATATTATTTGGAAGAAATGGCTTTAAAGGTACCTACCCTTGAAGAATGGTGGAACCACCAAAGCAGCAACAGCTGTGGTAGCTTGTGTCTGCATTGCAAGTATCTTCTGTTCGCCTTCCTTCTCTTTCTGTCATGTTTGGTTCATGCAAAATGACTTGCATGTCCAGCTATAATTTTCAAGGTTGTATGGTTCGCGGTTTGTCTTATAATGTGATTCATAAAGCAGACAATGAGAATCTCATTAGCCAATTGCACTCTTTTCCGAGTCACCGTCTGGTGATTTTTTTCTTGTATCGCTGAATAGATTCATATTTAATGATCCTATATATTTTACCATGATTTTGTACCTTACTTATGTTGTTTTTTGTGGATTATCTGGTAGTGTTTTGATCTGCAAGTTATTAGTAGCCTCATGAATGAGAAGTTTGTTTTCTTATTGCTATTTGTTAAAGTCGTAGTGAATATCCTCTTGATTAATAGAAGTATATTTTGTTTTATACTTCACTAAATACTTAATTTCTGTCTTTTATATTTGTGCATGTGATGTAAGGTATTTAACGAGAACTTGAAATGTATGTACAACTTTATGGGATTTGTGAAACTAGTATAATGATTATTGACTCGATCAATGAATTGAATAACCAACCCGCCATTCACTTTGGTGAAAGTATTTTGCCTGTTGTACTTGTCTAATTAATTTTTTTACAGTTTGTTAGCATTATCAAATTCTATTAGTTATTTATCGTCTTTTTTTTCTTCTGTGTCATAATTTCCATACGTTTGTCCTCTTTTTGTTGATTGCAGATGCTGTCTTCTAAGGATGTCAACTTTATGGGGTACACATATAAGAACTTCGAAATCGTAAATGAGCATGAAGTTCCTGGAATTGGTAACTAGCTCTCTCTTTGCATGCATGTTTTTTTATGGTGCATTTTGTTGCTTCTTTTGATCCTCAAAAGTATATCATGAGGATAAGGCAATAGAATTATATACTATCGGGAGTGGCAAATCTTTAATTCCGTATGTAATAAATTCGACTCCTGTCAGATTTTGAGCATTCTTGGTTAAATCATTCTGATAAGATACATTAACATGATCTTAATTTAAATGTTCTTTTTAAATTTATTTCAGCTGAGTTGAAGAAGAAGAGTTCAAAGCCTAAAAGGCCGACAGTGAAGTCACTTTTTAGTAAGATCATTCTCTTCAACCCCCAACCCCGATGATCTTCAATATGTGATTCCATCGGTCCAATAATATATCACTCCATTCATCAAAAAATAGAGGCAAAATTCGACTGTGCCAAGAAAAACATTTAATTATAGTTAAATATCTAATATACTTCTTTATTTAATAAATCTTATGGACAGAATCCAAGCTATAGATACTTTTGATGACTTTTAGTGACCAAGTAGGGAAGTTTTTTGATTGAAACGTTGCTTTGCCAAAAAAGAGAAATATTGCTTTTATTTTAGGTCATCCCAACTGGAAATTATTGCATTTAATTTTGTGATGGAGGGAGTATTATAGCTTTACCAGTTATCCTGTTTCCTCCTTCATTAAATGTGTTCCCACATAATCAAGTTGCTACGACTTTTTTCATTTGTTTGTTTATTTGCATGGCTTAACTACATTTGCTCAACATGAAACATAGAACAACCAACCACAAGGGTGGTGCCTCATTGGTTTGAACTCCGGGCTACCCGCGAAGCGGATGGTCGCCCTGGGATTAGGCGGCTCGCGTAGCGGGTTGGATATCCAGATTAATTAAAAAAAAAAGAACCACCTGCAAAATTACACTTTCAGGCACCATCTATTTACTATACTTCCACTTATGGCTATATATAAGTTCCTGGTGTATGTCTTATTTACTTGTATAAGTGGTCGTTCAAAACAGTTTCAGTTTTGTATCTAGTAGACTAACTTTATCAAGTGCAACAACTAATAATCGACTCCACATGTAGTTTGATTCAAGTGCATGATTATTAGTCCCTTCGATCATGAACAAATAGGAGATCTTGTTGAACAAATTCAATTTCATACAATTTTTGTTGAGGACAATGGGGACTTGGGTGAACTGAGCTTGAGATTTTGCCAAAAGAAAGAATGGAAATATGAGAATTTTCATGGGGTGGAGGGGATAATGAAATGTTTTGGGGTTGTCTTGCTATAATTTCTGGGAGTTTGCATCTTTTTCTGGAAGTACATAATATTTTTATACGGTAAATACTCACGCACACTCCTCACCTTTGATGAGGTTTGAACCGTTGACATATTGAGCGGTTGGGCTCTACTGGTAACCCAGATGCCGCTAAGCCAAGGACTCTTTGGTGGGAGTTTGCATCTTAGAGGCTTCAAAAAACGAATGTTTATATCTGATTTTCTGGTGAGATAAATAAATGCACAAATAACCAAGGGAAACACAAGTATATATAGAAGTGAATGGATCCGGATAAACAACAGCGTTGCTGATGACAACTACAGTTGTACTTTGTCAACCATTCTAATGAAACATTTGACTTGGTACCTGTGTGTCTGATTATTAGCCAAATGTCCAAAATACCCTTCAATTAGCAGAATCTTGAGGACCAAAATCAATACCATAAATAGTTTGTGGCGATGACAATGGACAAATAGGCGGTATTAGCTTGACAAATTGGCAAAGAAAGAAACATTGCAATTAACATTCGGCATCCTAAAAACAGAAATAACTGCAATTTTCTAGATGAAGGAGTATGTTTGTATCTTAAAGATTTCATAAGCATGAAGAGCGAAAGTACAGAAAATGAACCAATGAACCAATTCGGATTAAACAGCAGATCTTACTTATTTGACCTGAATTTCTGTGTTCTTTTATTTTTATTTTGCAGAAGAAGAAACAGATTCTACTTCCTCTCAACAAACTCAAGGAAGCTTTCTTAACCTTCTGCCCCGCCAACTAGAAGTCTCGAAGAAAGATGAGTCTACATGAATCTTGTTTACTGATAACGGTCACATAGCCATAGTTAAAATCAATCAATCAATCGATCAAAAGCAATGTGTTCCTTGCAACTGGGCAGCTTTTCGTTACGTGTGGGTAAATACAGATGGATTTGCAGTTTGTTCATTTTGCAGACGAAAACGATATTGTTTGATATTATGATGGATGAGGGGTGGGTTTGGAGATTTCTTTTCGGGTTTGGGGGTCTCTTGTAAATTGGTTTCTTGGATTGTGTATATCTGTTTTTTAGTCTTGTAATTGGTGTGTAACTTATCCAATTGTCAAAGTAACATTTATGGAACCTTATTGTTCTTGTAACTGATTTCACATTACAGGGTTGAAGTAACAACTTTTGTTTTGTCAATTTAGAGCCATCTCTGTTTATGGCAATATCCTACAAGTTTTTGGAAACATCGGCTCTACCCTTTGAAGAGGTCAGGTTCGTGTGCATCTCACCCCTTCCGGACCATGCTAATATACTGGGTCTTTTGGTTTTGATTGCTTTTTCTTTGTTAACGGTCTTTAGTTTTTATGGACCATGCTATAGTCTGGATACTGAGTTTGTATGATTTGGTTTGATTTTTATCTGTTTATGATCTTTAGCTTGTGGACCATGTTAACGTTTGGATATACATTGATTTGGTTAGATTCATTCTCTTGGTTAATGTTGCGGCTTAACTGGTAACTTCACATATGGTTTAAACATTCAACTTGGGGATCTAGAGATGGATTAAGGTTTTATTTGATTTGTGGTGTAAATGTGTTTATCATGCAAGAAATTAGAAGTGCATTAAGGTGGTTTTATGGCAATTTTCAAATTTCCAAGAGATTTTCTAAACTAGAGAAAATGGTGTTTTTGTTCTCTATTCTGTTTCAAGAGATTCTTAGTAAAAATTTCAAGTTCAGAGAATTCTTTAAAACTTATGAATGAAGAGAGATTAATTTTTTATTCGTTTCAATCCATAATTTGAATTACTATTATTTTATGTGATCTTTTTAAAAAAAGTATATTGGGATGATAAATTTATGAAATATTTTAATAATATAATAATTGTTAAAAATAGAGAATCCTTTGGAGTTAAATGTAATTTCTTTTAAAGATTTTGATTTTAGAAAAATTATAAAAAAATCTATTGGAACGGATAAAACTTATTATGATAAAACATAGTTAAATACAAGAAAAACATTTTATTTTAAATATAAAAAATATAAAATATTATTAGGATAAACATATTTTAGGCCAAAGACCCTTTTGTTTGAATTTGTTGTCTTGTACCTTTGAATCTAATAAGATAAGATTCATTTTTTGTGGTTTTTATAGTCTTGAGTGTTTAAAAGCAATACATCTCAACTCACATCTAACAAATATCTGACTACTTGATAATTTTGTCAAATATCTTTTTTATTGGAACGGATAAAACTTATTTGCTTTAAGATTGATAATCTTGCTTTCAAGGTACAATTCGTATGCTTGATAACGTTTTTTAAGTGTACATAAGAATAATTAAACCTGATTTCTTTAGTTAAAAAATGTTGGTGTTTGCTAACCAGTAACAAGTATTGTGATACGAAGTTGTAAACTTACGAGTGTTGGTATATACGACATCTAAAAGTAATATTTATTTGTAATTAATATATGAAAATGTAAATACCATATTTGCTTACTAATTATTACCTAAAATCATATTTGAGAAACATATAGAAAGTATCAGAATGCATAGAATATCCAAACTTACTTGATTACTGCATGAATCAGGAGAAGTATTAGACAAAAAGAAGAGTATATTATATATGTAATATTGGTATGTTGTGCTCTTTTCTTCACCCAATGTTTTATTTTTCCTAGTGGGATTTGTTCCTTGGTGTAAGGTTTTAGGGAGACAACGGTTTATATATCATCATACTTTTCTTACTATCATGATTAATGTACGAATCTAAGAGAATATTAGACTAAAGAAAAAGTTTATGCATTGCAAATAAGTTGGTGCATTGTACTCTTTCCTTTAACCTATTTTTATTTTTTCCCACCGGTTCTTTATTTCGGCTGAAGGTTTTAATAAGGCAACAATTATGCACGATCACTTCTTTGACTCGGCACAAAGGAGAGTTGTAGGATTAGTGTGCTATCATCTAAAATGATATGGCGACATAGATAGAGATAAACATATTAGAGATAGATTAGAACTGATACCTCTTGTAGTTATCTACTTATAATTCGTTCTTATTTAAAGTGTTTTTGATTAATGAGAATTACAGATTTATTCTCTCTATTTTATTGTTGTTATATTTCCTTTTTCCTATAACATCTATGTTGCTTTGTCGTATCCAAGGTTGTCTCAAAAAAATATTTCACGGAGAGCATGTGGTGAAAAATTTGACGTTAAATCAACACGTCACATTGTTAATATTCATAATGAATTATTGAGTTAGGGGGTGTTTGGGATTGCTTAAAAATGATTTTGAGTAAGTTAGAAAAATCTCTCACCCATTTCAGGAAATGGTTGGCTTCAGGAGAGAAGGAGAGTTAAAGTGAAAAACATAAGAAGAGATCTCCACCATTGGATGCACATTAGGATGAGATGCACCGAGATACACTAGATCAATCCCCGTATCAAGCGGGATTCATGAGTGGGTTTGTGATTACATGTGATTAAGAGGCAAGATCCTTCATTACGCTTCTCACCTAAACTCTTCCTTTTATGTAAGAAATACTTCTAAAAAAGATGGGGACTCAATTTGGATGTTCGCAAGCTACTCATTCTTGACGTTCGCATCCGACAAAGAAAAAGTTATTTGCGATTATTCACAGACTATTTGACAGATTGAATATTTTAGCCACAAAATTTGTGTTTTTAGACATATTTTCAAGAACCCTTAATCAAACTCTCTCAGCCAAATTTCAAAACGTTGTTCACCATCTTTTGAGAAAAATATTTACAAACACTAAGGAATGGTTTACCAAACGCTTATCCGGTAAGCTTATAGGATAAGATATGGCATCCTCAAATCAGAAAGAATGATTGATTTTAATTTTTTGATAAAAATCAATTAAAGGATATGTTTTTTCTTCTGTAAATCAGTATTTGATTACCTAAAATAAGTGGTGACATTGATCCACAAGAAACTCACAAACTCTTGAAATAGCGGAAGCTGCTTTGAGAAAAGCTGAAGGAAAGAGAGAAACAATTGAGGCGAATCTAGCTCTTCGACAGGCTAGGACACGAGTAGAGGCTATCAATGTGATTTCATTACCGTCGATGCATCTGAATAATTATCGATTTATACACCCTATATTTGGTTGTTTTGTTTGATTTGATTCTGTCCAATTTAGATTTAACATCATTAAAGTGGCAAATCAGACCTTACACAAAGTCTAGGCCAAGTCGGGTGTTACTACAACCCAATAACAGTCGCTATTTTCAAAATACGGAAGACGTACCCGAATAATTAAATCCTTATTGTGCCTCTAACTAGCACTCAACTCTTCACAGTGATGCTAGTACCATTCCCCAATGGGGACCTGATGCACATGTTGACAAATAAAAAAGGTTAGGCTTAACGCTTAGTGAATTTAAGTAATTTTCATTATTTAATATAAAACTGTAAAACTCAAAATATGCTATTTAAATCAAAGTTTCTAAAATGAAATGTATTAAATGTAAAAGTTACACCTTTCTCAAAACCCCCAATTTTCGTGATGGAAATTCATAAAGCAAAATACTCATTTAACATGAAACCAAAACTCAATACTTGTATAAAAGTAACAAATCTGAAAGACTTCTTCTAGGTCAATTAAAACTTAAAAATTCAAGTAACACAATTTATACCAAGTGTTTTAGTATCCAATAAAGCACCTTCATAACATTTCTATAGTTAAAAATACGATCTATAACTTGTATTTTAGAATAGAAAAAGATAGATTTTTACTTGTAAAAGTCTTGTAACGATCTGTATTGGTCCAAGAGCGAAATGCGTTAAACAAAATTGAGAATTAGTTGAAGTGAGATCAAGATTGTCACCAAAGCGGATTAGTTTGTCATCTAGCCAAAAAGAAGATCAATACAAGATAAAAGTCAGCTAGTAGTCTGACAAATACTACTAATGATAAGCCAAAAATTTGAAGTACAAACTTGTCCATCAAGTTTGGCTCACTGACTCTCTTAGTCCCATCTTGGTATAAGAATATGCACAACATGTCAACCAAAGTAAGTTCAAAAGCACTATGTTATTAGTGTCATACTTATTTTATTGTTTCTTTGGTAAACACAAATATGTGATAGGTTAACAAATGTCTATATCAAATTCAAAGGTTGGAATAAATAATAGTAGCATTCATGGATCAAGAAATCAAACGAAAATTCAAAGGATGGAATGAATAATAGTAGCATTCATGGATCAAGAAATCAAACGAAAATTCAAAGGATGGAATGAATAATAGTAGCATTCATGGATCAAGAAATCAAACGAAGACACACGTTAAAGTTGGATAGTAACATTTAATTCAATGGTGGCTATAAAAGGTCTCCCTTGTCACTCAATGTTATTCAACTGTTTTGAAAGAAATTCTTTGTGATAGTTTTTTAGGCAAAATCAACGTCAACTTAAAGGGTACCTCGTTCCCCAACTCTTTCAGTGTTAGTAAATTTGTCATAGTCAGATTGTTTAGGATCACATGTTTTACCTTCCTATATTCCATAACAAATCTATAATTTTAATACAACATATAGAACTAAAAGTAAAAATCTATTGTGTTTGTATTCAACCCCCCTTCTACAAACACTTTTGTGTAAGTCATCACTTTTCAGGACCAATAAATTTATTACTTTAGCGCACACTATAATAAGTGTCCCTCAAGCCCTGAAATGCCTTGAGTGCCTATTCCTTCGAGTTTCACTCCAACCTTAAGGTTCCCATTCGATCTTTAGTGCCTACTTACTAGCATTCAAAAATAGGAACCTAAAACTTCCTACATGGATACACAACACATTTAACCCTCATGCATAAGGGTTTAAGCATCTAAACCACAATTCTTGCATCCCTAGAGTCCGACTCATAAGAATTCACCCCCCCCCCCTAGCAACACCGAGACAACTATAATGCCTACTCGAGCATTCGTCACAAAGTGAAGACATCAAGACTCCTTGTTGGGTCACCTATTGATTTGGTGATGACCCACTGATCTGTTCCT